CTTAATTCTTAACTGACATTGATATTAAAAATTAAAACATTCAAATTAAATTAGCATTACTTTATTAATTAGAAACAACTTCTAAAACAAGCAGTCTATATTTAATATAATGTATTTCTAGAAAGACAGGAAGAATACTTACTATGCTGTTATATACTACCTGTGTCTAAAGAAATTGTCCTAAGATTTTAGAGTGTCAGCCTGATTTGAAATCTTTGATTTTTCAAATAAATTCTGAATTTGGCAATCCACAAGAGTGTTTTCTTCTTCTTTTGCTGGATAACTAAGTAATATGTCAAAGTTCAAAAAATTCTCATACAAAAGTGATTTCTAGCCTGTCAAGGCAAGTTGCTATGGCAACAACCACAATGACTAAAAAGGTTCTAGCCTTATTTAAAGGATAAAACAGAAAAAATATCACAAAATACTATAATGAAAAACCCTGTACTATAAATCTTAGTAGCAAAAAAGCCCAAACAAACAAACAAACACACATAGATGAAGGACTACCTCCTCTACCCCATTTAACAATATCTGGGCTGGCAAAAAAAGCCTTCAGTTTACCGTAAAACCTTATGTCATTATGTTTTAGAAATGCTGCTACTGCTTTTCTTGGGACTTTAGTATTCTTTGGCTTACAGACAGGTAAAAGACTGAAAACGAGCTTTTAGTAGCTAAGGATAATGGGTATTATCTATGCGGAACAGTAGCAGCAAACAGAACAGGACTATAAAATAGAGTAGAAAAAAATGTAGTGGAGAAAAGATGGATTCTACCATAACAGTCTAAAAATAGATTCACTTCAAATGAAGCACGGACAGTTGAAAGTATCTACAGAACAAACAGCTCCATCTAGAGGTTAAAAAGCAAGAAACGTTAAAGCAAGATCACAGGTAAAATATTCCCAAGACTTCTTAAAAATACCTCCTAAAATGGTCTGCAAGATCTCGCAATTAAAATAAATAATTGGCTTCAAAATACGTTGTGTAAAAGTTGTTTGATCTTTGAGAATCTAAAAGCTTTTTCATTAAAAACAAACTGAAGGCAAATCTTGAAATGGAAATGCCTAAATCAAAACCTGCCCATTCATACCTCAAGCTTCTTGTATTTCAGTTAAACTCACACTGAAATCCTAGCCTCAGTGAAGTCAGTAAATTTTGTCAGTTTTCATCGTGATCAGGTTTCCACCACAGAATCTAAATCAGTCAGCCTCCCAGCACCACTTCAACAAAAGTTTATACCAATGTTCAACACTAAGCGAATGGTTTGATAAGGAATGTAATTTCTTGCACATGCAACACTTCTCAAGCCCCAGTCCTTCATTCTTACCTATCATTTTCCACTTATTTCTGCAAGAGTCAGAATGCCCCTGCTAAGCTGTTACATGCTCCAGAGCAAACTCTGTTTTGTATGTCATCTTTAGAAATAATTCATCATAATTTTGTGTCTGCAGGGAAACAATTATTTCCACATTTTAGAACAAAACCCAGGTTTCAGCACACTACTTGAAAAACTACACAAGGCTCAGGTAAAAGAGGCCAGTTATTTTCCCTGCCAGGATGGGAAGGAACCAAACTGGCAGCTCACTGCCTGCATTAGCACTCTTCTGTGCTCACCTGCAGCAGTACGTACGTAAGCCTTTGGCTGCCTTCCTGCACCTAATCCCTCAATTCTAACAGAATAAAGTCATATTTGACTACCCTAGACTCTCTGAAGATCATCAAATACCTGGCCAACTGATTTCCAGAATAGATCTTCTCTAACATACTCCCACTTCTCTAGAGAACTTTAAGTGTGGATGGATAATCATACCTCCAACTCTCTCAGTGTTAAAACTAATTTTCTCCACTTTCCACTGGTTCTGGTCACTCTCCATCTAAACTCTATACATGCATTACAATAATGCTTAAAATCAATCACCAGGACTGTCTTCAATTCCTTCCAGATTACATTTTACTTTGCAATCTGCATTAAAAAAAAATAAATCACATAAGGGCATTGTTTCTTGAGCCTGTACTGGACACTTCCTAGCTGTGCCTCACAATACAAGTAGTGATACAAAGTAGAATAAAACAAGTCAGAAAATCAGGAGCAAAGGACTGCTGCTGGAAAGCTGTTGGCTTGGAGGTCTGCCGCATTACTGCCCCAGAACAAAGGCATGCTTTCTTATTCACTCCATGCTTCTTGGTAATGTGAATTGCCTCATAGTGGTTTTCCCACTTTTTTTTTTTTTTTTTTGTTTTTACATTTTCCCTATCATTATCCTGTTCAAACTCTTAACCCTCATTCTTCCCTCCCATATTGCTTTTTTCTACGTACCTGTTCTAGAACTGTACTTTCTTATGGCATCCCTCCTCTCTTTTTAGTTTATATCCTTGATTCTTCTTAGCATAGAAGTTGTTTATGATAGACCAAAACACCTCTTCCACCTTCCCCCCAGAAAAACACTAACATTAACAAGTCAGAACCAGTAAAACTACTGATAAAACATTTTATTACCATCAATACTCGTTTTTTTTTTTTTTTTAAAGTCCAAGTTCTGCACCTCTGAAAACCAGGCTATTCTGTGCCTAATGTTTAATTTGGAAAGTTATGCAAGTGTGAAAATACTTCTCCAAAAGACACTACACAAACTATTCCTGAAAGATTTCTACAAAGTAGCACGTGGTTCCAACACTTGAAATACCATTCACCAGGAACCTTTCTTGTAATATCTTACAATATTGATTCACATACCATATGTGTCTGAAAAGTGTCCAATGTCTTTGAACATAGAGATTGCAAAATTTTTAAGAAGTGTAATACATACACAGTCTCTTACATTCTGAATATCTAGTAAATACAAACCAGAGCTTGCATAGGAAGTTGGCTCCAGAGTTACCTCCTGATTATTTATCACAGTTTGAATACAAATGTATGTCTAGGGTTACCGGTTTATATTAATTTGCCATAACAGAAGCATCATTTTGTTTTTAACATAGCATTTTAAGGAACCCTTGAATCTAGAACACACAGTATTACAAAATCCTGGGAAGCATGACTGAGCATTACAATGTTCTGCTGTAAGTTCTAGGAAAAACTTCAAAGAAAACTCAAATGTATTTTGACCTCCTATTAACATGTACCAGCAGAGAGAAGTAAGGACCTTTTGAAGTAGTTGTTCATATAGAGTAGCTCTGTTTTTATGTGCAAGTTCATCAATTTAATGACAAAAATAAACTCACTACCTTTTCAATTTATCAGCGTACACACAGGGAGCAAAAGTGAACTGTTTGTCCTTCAGCATCCTACTGTAGGATCTCCAATTTAATAATCTGTGTATCAATGCATACTTTGAAATCATACTTCAACTTCAGCATTGCAACATTATTCCCACAGAGGAAAACACTGATTTCCAGCATGAAATGAAGAGGCAGCAACTCAAAACAACTTTTTATTTGCTCTGAGTATCGAACACAAGGTATGTCAAAAGCTTCAACATTTTTCTTCGTTGCAGTCCAGCTTGCTGACCCACTTAAAACTGTATAACAACAAAAAATAAAAACTTTTCTTTCTTTTTGCAATAGTCTGTATGCAATGACTCTTTGAGAACAAGCCTAGTTTCTGTTAGTCTAATTTTAGAGCTCTCCTGTGAGATCCCCCGTTACACACAAACTTTCTGGTGTTGGGGTAAGTGTGGTTTCCTTTAAATCCCATTGACACAGATAACAGGAAAAGGATGCATGAAAACACTGCATTCTGCAGAAAATCTAGTTCATGCAGATACGAGAAATATCAGGAGCTAAGCTGCACTTCCACTTAAACCTGCTTAATGAGAATAAATCAACTGACTAGAAATTTTGAAATGAACAAGTACTCCAACAAATAGAAACCAAGTCCTGATTCCTCACATGTTCATTTTTGGTGCTAAATTAACTAGAGAGGTAGCACCCCGATACTAAATTTACAAAATATTTAAATCAGGCTATTAACAAAGTTCTTCCAGAATATAAGTACAAACTTGACCTAGGAAAACAACTGAGATTTCTCTGGCTTTGTTTTGCAGCCCAAGATAAGCAACCTAATGTTAAGCTCAAAACCAACGAGAATTACTACAAATACTTCTGTCACATTAGATAATCATATATAAATCACTTTACCAGAAAGTATAACACTAGTCTTTCTGCAGAAAGGCAACTTTATGTAAGTTCAGTTTTGAAGCAATTCCTGTATTGAAAAGTGATGGCAGAATTTGCACCAGTAATTGCCCATCCATAATAAAGCTTACAAAGGGAAGTTTTACCTTCACTCATTATTTGTTGAGCGTACAAACCACTGAAGGATTTTTCAAAACTCCCAACAATCCTCCTACATACACTTGCAAAAATGATGGTTGGAAGCAATTGAATTGGGCTTTGTGCTTTTCCAGGCATCATTTCCTCAGAGTGATAGCTTTAAGTTTTTGGAAATTGGCAATTTCATAAAGAAAATCATTACCCATTCTTTTCAAGTCAGCAAAATACTTCAAAATTTATTTCCAGATGGTAGAGCCTACAGGCCTCTGCTGAAATGTGTATTTACGTATTAATTTTTTAAATCAGGAAAAAAAAAAAAACATTTAAACACAGTTTCCTTGAAGTTGATTTAAATACAGGCTGAACAAGCATTTCAAGTAGTTCCTCAGTCTATTTCTTAACAGAGAAGTTCTGAAGAATTAAAAATGAGATCTTTGCTCATGTATATGAATAAAGGCTTTTCCTTCATTTCACACGAAAAGAGTTGTTACAGAAATACACCGACAAACTGTAAGACACTAGAAATTAAAACTCCCTGATGGTACATGCTATTTTTAAAGCCAAAAGATTTTTTTACAGCTTAAGAGGATGCATCTCCTCAAAACTAAAACTGACTATTGAAAGTACTGTTACATTACTGACATACAATTCTACTTGTTACTTTGTATTAAAAATGCTTCTGTAAACAACTACAGTAAGACTGAAAAAAACCACAAAAGTACTTACATTGCATTTACTTTATCTTCTGGGCCCTGAACTTGACCCGTTACAGTTCCTTGACTGGTATTTTTAACCCAGCCAACTACTCCTAATTTCCTAGCTTCCTCTTCTGTGTACTGATTTGAAAAATAACGAAAAAGGACAATCAGTGTCAGCATATACACCACATGTATACCATTTAAAACCCCACTTTCATATCTTTAAGACCTACACTTAAAAAAAAATACATGGATGATGTTCAGATTCAGGCACTAAGATATTCCTGTCAGCTCTGAAGATGCAGCAGAGGCAGCCAGCTTTGGACCAAGAATGAGATTTCGCATATACATAATAAACGCACAATTAATTCCCACTTCCACACCTTTTAATACTTTTCTTAAAAAAAACTATACATATGATTACTCCCACTGAGACATTACATTGCTTATAAAGAAGACATCTTCTTGCCTTTCTCATATATACGTGCATAGAAGCCTTCTGATGTCATGAGGCTTTTTTCCTTCACAGGGAGGCCAAAGACTTGCTCCCCTTATTTCAGGAACTTTAACACAGTTTTGATCACTAAGTACTCTACTAGTTCCACACCTCTCCCTTGTACCCACTCCATTCCTTTCTATAGCTCATATCACTGCTCATTTGCCTCTTCAGCAATCAGTGACTGACCTCATTAAATTTGCTATATGTACAAACTTCATAGTTCTTCTCTCCAGTTTAATTTTAAATCCTTTCCATCTGACTTCCACCCTTTAAATTCTACCCTCAGCTGCTACATTACTACAAACAAATAGCAGCAAAGATCACAATCAATTTATACTGGTTTTCTAGTGTTTTTGCAATACCACAACAAATTATGGTTTCCCAGCTATTCACTCCTTGTGATGAAATTGGGAACTTCCAAGTTTCCTGGTTTTTTTAATGTTCAGGGTTTTTTTCTTAAACTTTCTCATTTTCCCTCTTCCACAGAATACATGCACGTTTTCATAATTTCTTTCTGGACATTGTAATGGTAGGGAACAGAAAGCCTGTTTTGCAGAAATCCATTGAATTTTTGTTCCATGTAGGACAATAAAAACACTATTAGCCAATACAGGTTACTTAATTTCATTAATAGCAAATTTATTTACATTAAAGGTACATCCTGTTTTACTTCTCACTCCTTTAGTAAAGGGGTACAAAGCTACATGGCCATGTTTTTACCTTGTATTGCAGAACATCAACAGACACTGGTGGCTCTAACAATAAGATCGGATATTTTTCAATGCATTTAGATGGGAAATAGCCACCAAACATTTTAGACTATGTGGAGTAATACTCAAAACAGTACACAGATACTAAATAGGCACACTGTGTTATCAGCCTCTTTAGACACTTATTCTAATGCCAACAGCCAAAAATTTCAGGTCAATATGACTACATTCCAAAAGGCAAAACAAATTTTGGGGTAATTTAGCTAATGAAAAGGTGCTGCTAACTATTAAGAGTGTTTCTCAAGAGGATTATGAGCAGCTTCTCCATACTAAATTGTCCAAAAGCATGGGAATGCAGCTGACAACCTGCTTCTCACTACTGCTTATTAGGCTCAGGACTGGCACTGTGGTATGCATTCACGCAGCTCCAGGTGAGCTCCAAAGAAGGCAGAGCAAGCTTGCACCTGCCCACCACATAATGTGTGGGCATACACTTTCCACTTGATAGATTAATTCAATTCAAGGCCTACTATATTGTAATCCTCTGTCCATTTCAATTTTGCACTATTTCACAATACATATAAAGTATGCATAAAACCCTATAGGTCTAATATTAAGCATGGTCCACTATTCTGAGACTGAAAACTTTTATTTGAAACATGTCCTCTTGTTTCTTGGGTTTCTATAAAATTAAAAACTACCTGATGCATTTTCAGAGCTGGTAGAGACATCTGGCTGGGATATGAGACACAGACAGTGTGTCTGTAGTACACTGTTACAAGGAAACATAATAAGCGTCTTTAAATAGTGGTACTGTAATTGTAATTTAAAAGGATCAACTGGAATACATCATTTCAGAAGCCAGTACCAAGAAGTTCAGATTTAACCTTTCTAAAATTAACATGTTACAATGCGCTTGTGGCTGTTTTATCACAAGACAATCTAAACACAATCTTTATACACTATATAAACAAGCAACACATGAGTAAGCTTTCAAAAATCCATTTTAATATAACAGTAATATAAAACAAGTACTTTTTTTTCCTTTTAAATCCCCTTGCAATACTTAACCGTCTAAGCTAGAACTCAGAGCTCAGGTTGGATATGATTATACTCTACAGACCTGCTGCCGTATTTTTAGCACTGGAAATACTATACTGTAAAGTGGAACTAGTAAATCAGATGTTGCCTTACCATCCTGAAACAAACACCTAAAAAAGAAAGAAAAAGACAATAAAATAATTTGGAAGAATACCACTTTTAGGAATTTCACTTAATATATAGTAAACTGCATACAACTCATCTGTGGCCTTTTCTTACAGAAATCTCAGAGAGCAGTTACAAAATTTTAACACTGGGCAAACTCCACAGGATTTGGGTACAAGCTGGCCTTGAGCCTTCCCTTCGGCAAACAGTCGTTTTCATTAACGCACACAGCTTTATTTAATAAAGATGCTGCGGTATGGGAGTTACCTTTGACATAATTCTCACTTTTAAAAAGTACTGCTGCCAAACGGGGGGGGGGGGTGGGAGGGTCGGGAATTCCCACATAACCGCGCTGACAGAAGACGCGAGCATAAACGCGGACAACGTGAAGTGCTTTTGACAGAACAGCCTGTGCTCCCCAGGGAGCCCGGCGAGCCTTACAGTAGGGCCATACCTACCACCTTTTCCCCCCTGCCCATCTCCCCGTTGGGGACGAGCCCCCGCCGCCGCCTCAGCCCCCGCCCGCCTCGCCGGGCCGGGCCCCGCGCGCATGCGCGGCCCGCCGCAGCCGCGCGCCCTCGGCGCCATCGCAACCACCGCCTCAGCGCGGCGCCCCTCACCCTCCCGCCCCGCCGCGCCCGGCCCGTCTTTACCTTGCACCCGTCCGAACACTTCGTAATCCACCGATTTAAGCGCGCCCGAGGCCTTCGCCAGGGCAGACATGGCGCCGGCAGAGCCGCTCTGGCACAGCGCGGTGCTCTCCGGGCCGGGGCCGAGCGGGGCAGCCGCGTCCCCTCGCCCGGTGGCAGCCGGACGGCAGCGCGCGAGGCTCAAGTTACCGGCGCTCTGCGGCAGCTGCTGGCGACGGCGTGTTGTGAGGTACCTGCCGAGCCCTGGGAAAGGCGTTAGTTCTCTCCTGTAGCTAGGATTAGAAGTAGGTTGAAAGAACAAAGGTCTGAACGAGGCGCTCTCCTCTTTCAGGGCTGGTGCAGTACGACTGTGTGCCCAACTGGGCTTCCCAGCTGGAGCATCCAGTGCGCAGGTAAGCAGCGTTAGCCTTTTTCAAAGGTTTACAGGAATCATTGAAAGAAAAAAGTATTTTCCATACGTGGCTGACCTGAGGTAATTTTGACTGACAAGGTTAGAAGTATTTGAAAGCTAAAACATAAGAAAAAATGACAAATTGATTTTGGGTGTCGCTCCCTGGCAAGGCCATGTGCCTGACGTACATCTCCATATTACTTAAACTTTCACCCCAAGTTTTAAAAGCTCATTTCTCCTCCCTGTTCAACCACTGTGCTGAGGCAAATAGCAAAGCTCAAGTACTCTGCTGAAGCAGGAGGCCTAGCCTTGGAGATAGAAAGCTCACCCTCACACAAACTTGTTCACCAAACCTTCAGTGATATCTGTTAGTGCTCATGTTTTGATGTTAGCAAACCTTTCCAGATGTGTTCGCCTGTAATTTATTTTATGTAGATGCTACATGTGCAAAAGCACAGGCCAGAAGTTGGTTGTTAGTAGGCTGAGTCTCCAAACACCACAAAGATTTTTCTCTGGAATATTCTATGTCTGCTTACAGTTTAATGTTCACACACACACCCCCCTGGTATTTGCCTTTTCCTGAAAATAAGTGTCTTGAGGCAGAATTCTACAATAGAAACAACATTTAACCAACCTTAGAAGATGAACTCTGCCTTCTCTTACCAACAGATAAAGGTATGTTAACTGTGACTTTACAAACAATTAAAATAATAATTTTATTTGCTCTCCATTAGGCAATTCCCTCCCACACACCACTTCATGTCCTAGCATTAATGCAGCATAACCCAAGTTGTTTACATGTTTGGATCTCAAGACTAAAAGGTTAAAAATAGATCAAGACCTAGAAAAAAAAATGATTTTCTGAGACACATCAATTAACTACAGAAACAATTCAGTGGAGAACACAAATACTCACATAGAATCCTAAAACTTCCAGTATCACAGGGAATAGGAACACAGTGGGCAAAGTTTCATCATTTGGTTAACCTACATAACATCTTAAACCTTTGCCTTTTGCAGGGGTCACACGTTTTACTAGTGTAAAATCGGCACCATTTTGTTTTAAAAGAGAAGGATTCTACACAAAGAGGAACAGAATGCAGTATAGACTGAAAATCTTTTATCATTTGCCGCCATCTATCAGCAGTGAAGAGCAAGACAAAAAAAAAAATACAGTAGCAGCGTATTTGCAGTATAAAGCACTGTAACACAAGCTTTGAAACCAAAGCTTATTCTAATACTCATTACATTTCACTATCTGCAGATTCCAGTACTGGCAATGACAACCTTTGTTTTACCAAGAGTATCTCTGACCTTTCAAGTGAGTATTCTCCATGTCACTTTGTTAGGTCTCCTCATATCTGCACTGGCTCATACTAAGGATGGAAATCACTGTGACTGTCCTTGAGAGCCCCCTGGCTCAGAAGTACTCTTATCTCTTCTCTTCCTATGGCTATGGTTGGTTTTCAGAAAAGTCAGTTTAAGATTATTTTTTCTAATTTGCTATAAGAACATTTTGCCACTCCTTTCCTAGATGAGTCTGAGTTTCTCATTATTTCATGAGAAGTAGCAGAGATACCATAAACATCTAATATTTTACAGTCCAAGTAACCAAGACCAGTAAAGAAACAGTATTTAAATACTCTAATTAGCATGAGAGCTTTATCATACACAAGAAATGTAGAAAATCTGTACAAAGTCAGTAAAATCCTAAATTTTCTCCCTCTCTTTCAGCTGTTTAGGGTGGTGATATTGGTGCATTTTCTAAAGCTATAGCCAATTGTAAAAAATGTTGAAGACCTACATCTGTTAAGGCATAAGATATATTCCTTGATTATACTACAGAGGAATGTAAATGATTATGAACATTTCCTGCAATTTTTGTACCTTTAGGATAAGCAGAAAATATAATGTCATAGCATCTCTAGGTAAAATAGAGAGTCTTTCATACTAGTGCCAGCTTAGCTATTACCACATATTCGATTCAGTTTGCTATTCAGTAAATGAGTGACCTTTTTTATTATTAAAGCAAAGCAGCAACAGTCACAATTAATATTCTAGTGAGAAGTTCCCAGCTGCAGTGAATTCCAGTGATGACCATTATGGTGCCAGTTTGCCCAGGCTCTTGCTATGCTCACAGCAGTTGCTTTTTTAAGAATCATCTCTTATTTCACAATATTAATTTTACTTTTTCTTTTCTGATTACTAAATGTGCTTGTTAATTCAAATATGTGCTACCTAGCTTTTATTCCTTTCTTTCATTCAGAATAAACTTTTGTGTTCTCGCTTTTGATGCACAGATTGGCTTTCACTGTCAGCACAGCGTCATCTAGGAACAGCTATTACTGCAACTTTGGTTTGTACAGAAGGGCTTCTTTATTCTGAAAGGTTTTTTACTTGGCAAACTTTCTGCAATTGCTGAAAATTATTACAGATAGGTCTAGTATTACCACTAGGTCATCTGGCTCTACTCTAGCATTAAGTCTTTAAAAATTCCTCTCAGTAGTAGTTATTGTTAAGTACAGTAAAATTTTCCCACTCTCTTATTTTTAATCATAGCATAAAGAAAGGATATAGTAAAGAACATCATTCTAGGAAAACACCAAGTCCCTGCACTGGTGCCCTTGCAGCTAAACGTCAGAGAAGGGTACAAGGGTGACTACAGAAGGAGCTGAGACCAATGATAAAACTTAAGTGATACAGTCCCACATTACCTAAGCAGGGCAGGCAGAGCCAGGGTTGACAGCAGGGTCTGTCTAGGAGCAATAGAACACTGGACTGGAAGTATAGCTATAATGTAGAAATAAAGTACATCTAAGAAGCAAAACTGAAAAAAAGACTGAAAACTAGCTAGCCTAGCATTTAGAAGAAAAAGAAGGGCTCAACCCTGAGCTTAAATGGAGCTGTGAGACCAAGGAGCAGAGGGGGTGTGTTTGGGTCCCAGGTGAGGCTGGTCAGGACAATTTGACCTATTGGTGCCCTTGACACTGACCAGTATATAAAAAAAAAGTTTTTGATAAAAGAGTCTCTTACTAAGCTTTTGTTTTGGTTGTTGAAGTTATTTTGCAAGTTGTAGCTTCAATATTTATGCTGTTTGTTCAATGCTGGCACAGAATTGTTGGAAAACCGTCAAAACCATATTTTCTTTCCATACCCAGTACTCCTGATTTCTCTCTGTGGCTGTCACCTCACAACACCATATCTACTTGATGTTTGCCACTTCTAAAATTACTATCTCTGGTGTTCGTGCAGATGTCCCATTAAGCACATAACCTCCCACCTTGCTGTCTTAATTCATCCTTCAACTTGTAACTATACTGCTATTTTTCTGTACTGTTTTAATTTAACATGGCTTCTCCTCAGACCTGTGCATGATTGCATTTCTGCTCTCCTGCTACCTTTTTGCAGAATTTCTTAAACAGTCTACAAACCATTAACGTTCCTGACTTTTCTTTGGAGTTGACCCCTCTCTCTCACTTATTGGCTTGCTAACAGGTATCTTTTAGCTATACATTTTCTCTAGAATTTTTAATATTTGTGCAACTCTGTTTCATCACTATCTGAACCAAACTCTAAACCTGATTCACTTGCAAACAGTCCGCAGCTGATTCCGATGAGCAACTTCCCAAAGGATACCAAAGCCTCTAGATAAAAGAAGCTATTGCGGGGCTTATGTGGTTATTGTTGTTACCTAAAAAGCACTAAATATCTAGGAAGAAAGTTAGGAGCTATGTATGTTTAGTTTGTTCTTTATAGCTTCTTTCTTTAGCTTGTTTTCCGTTAAATGTACTGTATGTTAGTCTATATAATAATACTTTGTGTTTATTTCTTCAGCTGAAGTTACAAACTTCATTCCTTTTTAAGGGTTTTTTCTTTCTTTTTCCTTTATTGCATTTTATTTTTCTATCACATTAACTTCATTACTTAATTTCTGAATAAAAATTAATAAGATTTCCAACTTTACAGACTTTACATTGAAGTTGTACAAGCTTCTTCAGGGTTTTTATTTTACAATCCTTATTTACATCATATCTAAATATGCCCAAAAGTTTTTGAAGGCTTAATAGTGACTAACTGTGAAATAAAAGACAGCTGCAATTCATCCCATTTCTTCTTTTTCTGGAGATCACTAGCTATCAGTAGCTGTGGTCTTCTCTTTAGCAGTAAAGATTAGATTTTGAAGCTTGAAGAACAAGATAAGCACACAGTGGGACTCTTGAAGAGCTTTAGTTTGCCTTAGAAAACATTGGATAGAAAACAATGGTTTGTTGCAAAACTACTGAATAGAAATGTTGTAATCATGCAGAAATAAGTACAAAATAACTTCTTTTCCTTAAGCTTTAGTGGAAGAGAATGAAGTGTTCCTAGCCTGTAAGAGTTTAGCTATGAGTCAGCTTATTTAGAGGAAATTAAAAGTCAAGGGGTGTGAATGTAAAAGTGTCAGTGGAAGATTTAATCTTTATATATCTTTGATACGGTATATTCATATAGTATAGGGAGTCTAAGCGCTTTGTAGAGAAGTGTAGAAAAGGAGTGTCTTAAGAGAGAGCGTTGGGATATAAGTTAACAAAAAAGTAGTGCTTGGGAAGAATGAAGTCTCATGTTAAAATAGAACAACATAGGAGGACACTGTTTTCTTTAGCTGCATTAAAAATGAAAAATTATGTTGTACTCTGGAACTGCAAAATTTGAAGTTCAATCATATAAATTTTACAAAATAGTTGGGAATTATTTACTTGGTTACCTATAATGTAAATATTACCATGTAACCTAGAGAAAAATTTTAACAGAATGC